GTGAGTTAGCCATGCCCGGACTCAAATCGCGCAGAAGTTACTTCAGCCGGCTTCGGCAGAAGGCCGAACTAGTCAATATAGTTACCTGTAGTTGTGTAATTCCAACAGTTGTCACGCTGGCTCGTATGGTCTGATCCCTTAGATGTTCGCACACTTACTTATATATCTGGGTATATAGCGTAACTGATACATTGATCTGTCCTCCGTCATTAATGAGTGCTTTTGGATGTTGTTTTCAAGCCAAGTAAGGAAGGAAGCGAAAGTCACACCTGGCATAATGTCACTGATATGCTCTCTGTTCAAAAACATTTGCCAGGAATGGGATAAGAGCAGAATTAGTCTTTGAGTAAAGATATCATTCTTATAAACAATTGTCAATTGTCCTATAATGAGCATTGCAATGGCACATATCAGATTTACATTCTATCACCTTCGTCGCGTGTTTCTAACCTTCCAGACCAGCGGTTTCATGACCGCGTGGAATACTAATGAGTTGTTGTTCGGCATCCGCCATGTTTGATGTATTGATGGTACTTGCATGATTGAATAATGACGATTTGAGTTGAATTCTCTACTAGACGAATTCCCTTTGAGGCCAGTCTATATACGTAGAACGCAGACGTGATCTTAGGGTCATCCCGTTCCGCTTCTCTCCCCTCGATGACGACCCTAAGATCATCTGCGTAGCAGGCGAATAGTAGTTCCGGCACGGTTTACATTGTTTCACGAAGGATTTTCTTAACAGAGAAGAGTAATTAACTGCTCACTGAAATAACTAATTTAAAATTTTACGCAACTCAGTTTGTTAAGTTTACTGCGGTTTTCGATATTCTGCGAAATCGGTAATTACCGCAAGCTGCACGCTAAAATTTGGTTTTTCGCTGCTGTCAATATAATCAAAAATAATAGGCAGATTAAGATTTCCGTTTTTCCTTCCCGCAAACGGCAAACGTGACCACGTTTTCATCGTTTTCCTACATTTCACTTTACCTTTTGCAAACCTTCTCGACAAAGACAAATATTCTTTCGTTTATCTACTACTTGGAGATYTTTGCGATTCCTTTTCACTAATTTTAAAGAATTTTTTAATGGTCAACTGACGTTTCACGTTTGCCGTAAACGAGCTCTTAAATTCTCTAATGGAGTCGTTGTATTGACTGACGGCATTGAAAAGCCCTCACATCAAGCCGTTGGAATGGACACGAGTGAAAAACGTCTGCGCATGCTCTAAATCCGTATGCAAATTATTCAAAACATATATAAATTTGACTTTCAAACATGCCTGATAAATTGGACTTATTCACAAAATGCCAAAACTTAGTGTCCATGCTTGAAACTTAAGGGTAATTCTTTCATATTGTGTTTCTTAATACAGTATCTTGGTCTGACAAAAGTATACTTTCGAACTTTTTTGTATACTTGGAGAAAACAAACATTTATTTTCTCACTCAAACTCTTCAAATTCTTAGAAAACGTGCTGAAGTGCACGCATGCGCAAACGTTTTCCTTCGGTGTCGTTGGAATGTCTAAGTTCGCTGAATATGGAAAACCGCAGTAATACTTGGCAAGGGAAGAAYGGGTGCTGCCTCTCATCAATTCGACCCGTGTTTGAGCCTGTGCTTCCAGGGTTTTTCTCCGGGCGTTTTATCCTGATTRGGTTACCTGTGGCTAGATTTAAATTTGACGGATTTGGGTTGACAGGAACCCAGGGTATATTCTATTGTTTTAAAAATCAAAAAAGAAAAAYGGGGGAAAAAAGAAGCAAAAGTGTGAATATAATGTTTAGATCACCCATCCAAGTGCTAACCCTCCTCAGACGAGCTTGACTCAGTATCTTGAACGACAACGATTAATCCACTGGACCACGSTTCCAGGTGAATCAGCATAACAATAGCTGTGAAAACAATGCACCATACAGACTAGACTTTTTAACATCATGCTTTCAACCGATTCCGTGCGTGGCAGAGATGCAAGGGATTAGCCGATATGGTCTGGGGACCGGCTGGTCTCTCCCCTGATGCTTCGGCTAGAACATTTTCTTGCGTAATTCGTACAACCAAGGGCAGAAGGATTTAATCGCCGTCAGGTCCGAAGTCCATACGGCGCCTCAGCTCTGCGGATGTCTCGGGGGTATGGCAAAGTGGAGTCGTATTTTTTATATTTCTTTTGGTGGGTTCGAATCCCAACTTATCCACATAAGATTTTTATAAATTTTATAATTTTTTTATTATATAAATATTCAACAATAACGTAATGCAATCTTTTTAGTCAAAAACGATTTCTTCCTAATCGGTTGCGYTATAAGCCTGTATGAGCTCGATCAGACGTTATCAGTCATGCAAGCAATATCGATCCGAAAAAAGTAGTGCTATGCTTTCCTATAGGTAATACGTATAGGGCCGGTAAGTAAAGGTAATCGTATGGGGACGAGTAAAATTAAGGATTAATTTCACGAGTGTTTTCAAAGTTTTGAAATTKGCCGAGTCTCGAAGCGACAGGGGCAATTTCAAATGTGTTTTCAAAGTTTAGAAATAGTCCCTTTCACAGTTCCCTACGCCATCTTGAAAGGTAGACGTGCCTTTGCATCGAAGCGAGACGATCGCGAACGATGAGCTTGCAATGATAGGGACCTGTCAAGGTGTTAAAAAAAGGTCTCTATCATTGCAAGCTCACCGTTCGCGATCGTCTCRCTTCGATGCAAAGGCACGGCTACCTTTCAAGATGGCGCAGGGAACTGTGAAAGASACTATTTCTAAACTTTGAAAACATATGTGAAATTAATCCTTACTTTTAAGAGGGACCATAAGATTATCCGTTTATCATAATATAGGGCAAAATTCAACGAAAAAAATCCGYCTTGAAACCAATATAATGCCCGTGCGTTGTCATTTATTGTGAACTACAAATCAAATGTAGCTATGGTTCAAAAGAATTTTATTCAGAATTCACACGTGTTTCTTCATTACATGTGCTCTCTTCTTTTAAACTTTGGACAATAATACTTCAAGGTTTTCTCCTTTACTAAAGAATACCATCGATCACTGAGTCTAAACAATAATTATTTGGCAAATTTCCCTTGGATCCCACTGAATGAACTGTTAAATCTTGAAAAGAAAGTACTTCAACCGAAAGAATGGCAAACGTAAAATATCCCGTCAAAACCCATAAAAACATGCATAAAACTAAAATGATAAAAAGGTAAATTATACACCGTGAAAAAATGAAAAAACGTACTGACGTTTCGGACGCTATAGTCCTTCCTCTTTTACTCCGACGAAGGACTAGCGTCCGAAACGTCAGTAAGTTTTAATTTTTCATCTTTTCACGGTGTATGATTTACCTTCTTATCATTACTGTTTCATTAGAAACACCGACGCAGCTCATACTAGTTTTTAGCTAGTTATATCTTCTGCATAAAACTATAGATTCCTACCAACATTAATATCATCTGTTGTAAGATTTGTGTAATAATGTAAAAACTTGAATATATATTATAAATATTTTTTAAAGACAATGAAAATTTGAGTCTATTTTAAGTTTAAGAAAGTCTAAAAAATTAGGTTATGCGGCGAGCGGTAGGGTTATGGAGGGAGAAGTCCACGCGTTTGTAGGAGCAGGCGTAACTCAGTTGGTTAGTGCGCAGCCTTCAGAGGCTAGAAGTCGATCCTCAGGAACTCCACGTCTGTTTTGACTTCTCTCTATTCTGTGTAGCTTTAATTAGCTTTAAATACCTGTAAAAAGGAGCACTGATAGTAAGAGGAGGTAGAGGGCGCACCTTCGAGCGCATTGAACGTGAGGCAAAAAAAATTACCTTTAGCTTTACCTTTTTTGTATCAAGTGTTATTCTAATAATAGCTCGTGATCCTCTCAGGCAGAGCAGAGCAGAACGAACGAGTGCAAATGATGATGAAGATAAT